TGTTTTATCATTTTTTGATTTAATGATATTTATATTTATATAATTAAATGACGATGAATAAATGGTAACGTTTTGAGGATTTTTACGAAAAAAAATGTAAATTTTCGAATTGATTTAAAGAAAAAAACAAATTTTGAAAAATTCTTAATCCAAAAATTTTATTTTTTAAAAAATTTGCCGAAAAAAAGAGAAGAATAAATTGCTTGGACATATTTTACCAATCATTATTGCTCCTTTATTTGCAATTTTTTTATTGATAATATTCATTTGCTATTATAATTATGATTAACTGATGATTTTGATAATTTCTAAATTGTAACTGTCATAATAATCTGTCTCCCCTTTTTTCCGTTGTAATTTTATAAAATCTAATTTGATAAATGATATGATAATAATACAGAAAAGGAAAATAATTGTACAGTAAGCACCTAGCTGTTTTCTTATTCTACATTTTAGAAGCAAAAATAATTAATTTATCTTTAGTTATAAATAATATTATTCACAATATTGAAATTAAATTTTCATGCAAAATTTAATATTTTATTCTGACAAAAATTATTTTCAAAAATTTAAGAGTTTTAAAACATTATTAAAAACTAAAAAAAAAAGAAAATATTAACATTTTAGCAAAACGATTAAGCGCTATTCGTGGTAAAGAAACTGAACTTACAACGATTCAACGTTTTGATTTTTCGAATTATATAAAAGTTAGCAAATTTTTTTTTTACGTTTTATTAATTACCATTTTAAAAATTCGAATAAATTAATAAATTAGAGGAAGAAATTGCTAGTATATGCTTGAAATTATTAACTTTTGAATTTCACAATTAATTATTCAATTCTTTATTTTTTTAAATTGCTTATCTCCTAGTGATAAGTGATAAGGCAAAAAAGTGATAACATAATTTTTAATTCATCGAATAGACAAAATGTTAGAAAATTTGTCAAAAATTGAATTTTATGCAATCAAATCAACAAAGTATTTGAAATTATTCCTTAAAAAAAAAAAAAAAAATTTGCTCTTTTTTATTAAATAATTTAATAAATTTCGAACAAATCTTTTGTTCTAGGAAAATGTAGGTCAAATAGTGCGCTTATCAATTATGCTAAATTTTCCCGTGCAAGTATTTGAACCAAGTACCTATCTTAATACACTTACGCCAACGCCAATTACGTCATTTCTAACAGCTAACTATCGAGCACGAGCATCTTCAAAAGTATTTAATAGACGTTCACGAAAGTTTGTCTTATTTCATCAATTTTTATCTCATATATATATATTTTTGATTTTTTTAATAATATTTTGATTCATATCTAAAATTTGATAAATTTGAAAGGCAAAATTATGATAATACATAACAAAAAGAAAAAATAATTTTATTTATCACAAAGAAAAAAAAAATTATAGGAAACTATACATTATAAGAGTAGCACATTCATTAATTGTTTATGAATTTAAATTATTTCAATTTCAATTTCTTCCTTTTTCTTCCTTTGCTATGCTAAATAATATTGAACTTTAATATACTATTATTATCACTATTATTATTTATGTTGTTATTACTACTATTATTATCATTATCATTATTGTCTTTAAATTATTGTTGCTATTATTATTATTACTACTGTTATTATGCTACTATTGCTATTGTCATTTTTGTTATTACTATCATTTATTATTATTATCACCTTTATTATTGATAAGATGCTACTATTTTTTTACTACCATTTATCTGTTTATGTATTATTATTATCATTACTGTTATTACAATTACCGTCATTTATTTCAGAAATAAATTATTGACCAATATGGATGATAATCTTCGTCGAAGATTATCACTAAAGCAGCAGGAAGATGTTGAAGAAATTTTTAATCGTATAATCAATGAAGAAAATGAATATTATAACAAATCACATTCAGAAAGTGATTTTAAAAGTTATGAAGGATTGCAAAAAGCTGGGTTAGTTGATAATATTGTTTCAATAATACTAAAATTTTCTCTTTTCTACTATATGATTAATTTTAGTTTCAAAAGAAAAAAATGCCAATAAATTTTTAATGTGATTTATTTGTTACACTTTTATTAAAGTTCTGAAAAAAAGATGAAAAAAAGATAAATTTAAAAGATTTAAGTTTAAATTTAAAATCAGAAAAATTCGTGTGAAAAATTTTGTCTTTTCTATTCTTAATATTATAAATAAAATTTTCGATTATTAAGTTAAATTTCTTTTTTCTTTAATTGTAAGCACAATTATTATATTTTTTTTTATTTTAAATACAACAAAAATCTTTTGAATTAAAGCTTAATTACTTATCATATATATTTGATAAAATATAACATGAATTCTTGCTATATATATTCTATAGATATATTTTTTATATTAAAAAAAATTATTTTTCTTTTCTAATAAATATGCAAAAAAAAAAAAAAAAAATCACTTTTTTTTTTAGTTACAAAACAATTTTATTTAAAAAATTATTAATGGCATGTTGTGATGGTTGTCAAAAGAAAGCTAAAATAATGGAAGAGGAAAATTTTGAAATGGAACAAGAAGATGGATTAGAGGGTTTGGACGATGAAAATACATTTGAATGCAATGAGCAAAATAAAGATGCTCTTCATGAGGTTTCATTTAATAATTTGAATTAAAATTATTTTATAAATTAAAATGATAAAAAATAAAAAGAAATGAAGACGAAAAAAAAAAAAAGAATTTTTTGTGATAAATTTTAATGGGTATGATTTGATTAATATTATTTTTTTAATAAATACTCTTAATAAGAATATATGTCAAATATTTGAAATATGATTTTTTATACAATAAAAATTTTAAGAACAAGTAAATTTCATTATTGCTATAATCGTTATTATTATTATTAATTATTACTATTACTGTTATTATTGTTGTTATTATTGCTACTTATCATCGCTCTTACTGTTTTTAATTATTACTATTATAACGATCTTTATTATCGTTATCGCTATAATTATTAATTGTGATTATTATTGCTACTTTTTTCTTAAAATTTCCATTTCAGATGCTTGCTAATATGTTTTTTACAAGAGTTGCTTTACCCGAAATGGGTTTTGTGGAAAATTTTGCTGACTTTTTAATTGATGCTGAATTAAATAATTTACCCGTATTGAAACGAGTATGTGAAGGTTATTTATGTAGCGAATTAAATTCAGTAAGTTTAAATTATAAAATTCTTTACATATCATTCATTTTTCAAAAAAAAAAAAATAACCTTTCCATTACATTGAACTTTTAAAATTAGTAAAATTTCCACAAATATTAGCATAGAACAAGAAAAAAAACAAGAAAGTAAGAGTAGGATAAGAATTTAAGTAAAAAAAAAAAAAGAAATTGAGTTTCAAATAATCACTAATAATTTTTTTTTTTTTTGATGCATAAATGATTGAAAAAAATTTTTTCCAATTAATAAATTTTTTAAATTAATATTAATTATTTCTTACTTCTTTCAGAAAAAAGATTTAATAACATCATTGCTGCTCGAACTTTTATTTTTGGCTATTGTTTTCAATTTACGAGTATTGAAATCAATGACACTTTCTGAATTATCCGATCGTCCGGATGAATTAAACGGACCGGATGCTTTATTAGCACTTGATGAATATAAGTAATCAGTTTTTCCTTCCTTCCTTTCCTTTTTTTTGAGTTTCTTTTTTTAACTTTTCTTTTTCATTTTATTTTTTTCGGAAGAAATATTCATTTATGAAATTTACTGGCAATGAAATTGGAATGAAATGATATTACTGCAAATGTATATTATCCGAAAATTTTATTATATCGATTTCAGAAGTAATTTTTCATATTTTTCATGGGAAATTTTTTTCAGAAGTTTGGATCGTCGAATGATAAAACTCAGTGGAAGTAATCTTGTTGAAGTAATTGAAGAAGTGCAACGATTTCGAAAACAAAAATTACGCACAAAATTGATTAAACAAATTACAAAAAATATTTCGGTTTGTTCTTTTATTTATTTACTTTATTTTTTGTTATTGTTTTTTATTGCTTTTCCACATGCAAGTAATAGTAAAATAGAAAAATTTTAAAAAGAAAAGAAGCATTTCAATTAAATATTTAATTTTGCAGCTTTTTCCAAACATTTTTTTCTTTTTATTTTTTAAATTTTATCGTTCAAAAAATTTTTTTTTTGCTTAAAGTCAATGTTAAAATTTTTAAAGCTATTGTTTTTTTTTTTTTTTTTTCATTATTTTTTATTTTTCATTTTTTCTAATTTAAAATACAGTGAAAAACAAACATTAGGATAAAATTATGTGAGTATATTCAACAGAAGGTGCACTACCAATAATTGTTAAAAGAAATTATTGTCAAAAAATAAAAATGAAAATAAAAAAAAAAAAAGCTGAAAATATTTTAACAATTTAAAATTATTTCTAAAATGAAAATACAAAAAAGAATATTTAAAAGTATTTCAGAGTGAAAATACGAAAACAATATATAAAATTATTTCAGAATAAAAATATAAAAATAATATTCACAAATTATTTCAGGATGATATAAATCAAATGAAGACTGACAATAATATGAATTCTGCTCAATTATAATTGCAGGGTTTCCAGTTTTTAATTTAGAAATTCCAATATTTATAAGTCTTTTGTGATATTTTAACATTTCATACTTCATATTCCGTCATCATGTTTCTTTTCCTCAATAATTCGATAAATTTTTATCACAAAATAAACGATAATATAATATTATGCTGAAAAATTTAACAGATTAAAAGTAAACCAAAGACACTGTTTCGTTTTTTTTTTTTTTTTTTCCTTTTAATTTCACATTTCTTAATACTATCTCATTGATAACAATAAAAACAAAAATAAAAACAAAAAAAAAAAAAAAAAAAAAAAAATAAACAAACAAGCAAATATAGAGACATATATGAATAGTATCATTTCATAGATTAAATTTGTCAATCTTAGGCAATGCAGTAACATTTTCAAACTATTTTCCTAATGTACTACTTCAGGTTCAACAACCAGGTATAATGATTCTGTACTTTGTTCAGGTGTTAACCCAAGTGGAATACCTTTCCATTCTAATGAATTACAGGTTGACCAACGATTATTGGCTGAACTATTTGAATCTGTTATTTCTGGTTTCTTTTCAGCTGTAATATTAAAAAATTATTATGATTTTTGCAATTGACTAAATGCTTAACATTCTGAGCATTAAATGTATTATTGAAGTTAAATTTTTAAGTTTCTACAATTCAATATTTATCAATTCTTTTTTTTTTTTTTTTTTTAGAAATAAAGTAGTTTTTCTGCTACCAAATAAATAGCTTACTCATCATTTATTATATTATAGATCTAGGAAAAAGAAATGTTAATTATAGAACAATCAGTTTTCAAGAATAATTAAAAAATAACAAAATAATTAGAATATAATATTCGCTAAAAAAAATTAAAAAAATAGACAAAACTACATAATGATTCATCAGCTAACTTTTACTATTATTACCTTCAAATTTATTGTTTTATTCATTATTTGTTTTTGTATATTCTAGTTTATAAATAACAAAAATCGCATGCTTTTTTTTTATTTCACCTTGTTGTTAATTGCAGAAAGTATAAATTATGTGCATTGTGTCAAAAAAACTAAAAAAAAAATGAAAATTTTAAACATATAATTCATTATATCAAAAAAAAAAAAAAAAAAAAAAAAAAAAACCAATTACTACCATACTTTTATAATTTAAGTTTAGTATTTATAATTTTATGGCGAGAAAGATAAAAAAGAATTGCATTTTGAGATTTGAAATTTTATTAAGATAAATTTTCACAACTGTTAAAAGTTTGAAAAAAAAAAAAAGAAATCTCATGCATATGTAAAAAATTTAATGACGAGGTCAAAATGCTGATAATTTTAAATATGACTGTAAAAATTAATAGAAACAAGTAAAATATATTTATAATTAAGATTAAGATAATGATTCAACAGCTAATTTTTATAATTAAGATAGCATTGAAATGCAAAGTTAAATAAATTATCTCCTACAAAATTTCATGGCTATATATTAATTGCAACGGAAAATTCTTCAAATAATGCTTAATTTTAAATCATTTCGCTCAATCAGAACTTTTAATAATTGAGAAAACATTTAGGTATGCAAAAATGGTAAGTGAAAATGAGAAAGAATGAAAATAACAGAGTTATAATCATCTAACTTTTTTTTTTTGCCATTAAATTTCGCAAGTCATCGACAGTTTTAAATGATGCACCAATATTGGTGGAAACCGGAAATGATGATGCATCAATACTGGTGGGATCCGGAAATGATGCTGTTCCTGTGATAGTTGTCTTTTTAGAAGACACTACAACGAGTTGCTTCAAAGCATTCTGTTCTTTTTCTGTTATTTTTTTGATTTTGCTCAGAATTCTGGAAATTTAAATTGGACAAATTGAAGACATTTTTAAGTAATAAAATAAAAAAAAAATTAATAAGTTAGAAATAAGAAATTGCTATGATATTTTCCGAAAGAAAAAAAAAATAGTAACTTTAGTACACTTTTTTTTTCTAGCAGATAATCTTAAAAAAAAAAAACCTATAAAAAAACAATTATAAAAAAGAAAAAAAAAATTTTTTTTTTACTTATCAAAATATGCTTCTCGTAATTCTTTTGGTGCCAACATTATCGCTTTCAAAATTCTTTCCCATTCAGATTCACTTAAAACATTTGCTAAAAGAAATTACATTTAAAAACAAAAAAAAAAAAAAATTTGCTACGACTAATAATACATGAAAATATTTTACAAATTTCAAAACGAAAATCTATCATTTAATTGAAAAGATAGAAAAGAGAAAGAATTAAGTAAATGATTCAAGTGATAACATTAATTTATAAATCATAAAAATTATTAATAAATAATTTTGAACAAAAAAATGCTAACATTCCACATAAGCAGTTAACATTCGATCACTCCACGCAATTAATTGTCGTTTTCGTATTGGTTGTATTTCATCATTTGATGCAATTTCAAGAAGCTAAAATGATGATTGATTTAATTCCTTTAGGACAGATTATTTTTAATAAAATGTTAATTTTGATATATCATTATTGATAACTGATATCCGGTAACGAATATTTGGAAATTATCTATTGATAAGTAACAAATTATGCATAATTTCATCACTCACTATAAATGTTTTTCCTTTTGTTTTTTTGTATATAAGTTATCTTTTTGATCAGAGATAAAATTTACCTGGAAGAGTAATTCAGGTAACATTTTGGCTTCATTCAGAAAATGAAAGATTGGTTTCCAGAACAGTTGCAAATCTTCCGGAACAATCCATATAGCTTCATTTTCTGCAATTAAAAAGAAAAGAATTATTTCGGCTTTTTTTTTTTTTTTAACAAAACTGCAAAAGGCATAAATTGAAAATTCTTCAGCGGTAAAAATAACTGTTTATCAAAATCTAAAAATCTAAAAAGAAAAAAAAAAAAAAAACCTTATTACAACTCACTTCTATATCAATATGCCATTTCATATGAAGCAACCTTAATGTAAAATAACAAATAATTATAATTGTAACTAATAAATCAAACTCATACTTGCAAATATATTATGATCAACTGATCTAACTTGTTTCTCGTTTAAAATCAAATATCCTTCAAGTAAAAATGCCCCCAGAAATTCCCTGAAATGTGGAAAAATTCATTTTCAGATTCAATCTTTAATTTGCATAAAGTTCTATATAACAATAATAGAAAAATATATATAGCAATAAAAATAATTACAAGTCTAACTTAACTAACTTTTTTGGTTGTAAATCAATTGCAAAATTAATTTTCAAAAATGATAAATTTTGACAAATTTAATTGGTCAAGACATAATTTAGAGTTCAAATTTTTCTTAACAAAGAACTATTGTTGGGAAATAATTGACAAACGATCAAATTCATACAAAAAATTGAAGAATGAAATAAGTATGATCATAAATAGTAATTCAGATTAAAATTATCACTGATTAAATGAACGAGAATTTACAAGCAATTTACCAAGGATGCATCATAATAAATGTTTCTATTTTCGCCAATATCTTTTGCAATTTTATTTCCTTGTTTGGTTTATTATTTTTTCGATATGCACATAATTTCATCTGAAAAACAAGAATTATTTGAATGATAACAGTGATAAATGATGAGTTATAATAATGATAATGAGTGTCGCTATTTTGGAAATAATTGATAAGGAATTAGTATGGAAGAAGAATAAAATTATTAGTTTAGTTACCATACTTTTTGATTCAGTTAAGCAATCGGTAACAGTTAGGCAATCTCGTTCTTTTTTTTTTCTTTTTAAATTCATTCTTTTTTTTTTGATTTTTATTTCTAAAATCAGTGATAAACTAAAACATCATGAATTAAACTACCTTTTCAAAAGAACAAAGCATGAAACGATCAATTAAATCAACAGCTTCTTGTTGTAAATCAGTTTCATTTTCATTTTGAATATTTGAATTTAGTCCAATTGCTTCAGCTACTGGTCTTGACCAATGATGCTCCTAGAAAGAAAAGAATGAAATTTATCAACATAATTTATTATTGCAATGTGAAAGAAATAATTTTGAAAGAAGCGTAATTAATTTATAAACAGCTTCATAAAATTTACTTGAATCTTCTTCAGATAGAAATTAAATTGCAATTTAAACAGCTTCATAAAATTTACTTAAGATATTTTAATTAATTTGTAAACATTTCATAAAATTTACTTGAAATATCTTCCTGAAATATTAAATTGTAATTTCCATAATCAATCCTAAACCTTACCTATCAGAAGCACTTAAATAATTTGATGCTAAAGACAATTTATCATCATTCATCATAAAAAAAATTACCCAAAGCCAATTGCGACAGTATTGCGCTGCTTGACGTAAATTTTCTAGCGATGGAAGATGCGAATGAGTTGCACCATGTCGAATGTCAACCACCCACTGTGGAATACCAACCTAAAATAAATTTTGAAAATTTTCAAATTAAAATTAGCGTCTAAAATGAATTATTATAATATATATATATAAAGGAATTCTGACAAAAATTTCATATCAAATAAAATACTTACATCACTAACAGCTGATGCAATTGATTTGAATTTATAATTCGTTTGACATATTTCATTAACATAATTGACAAATCTGCAAAAAAAAAAAAAAAAAAAAAAAAAAAATAAAGAAAGAGGAAGAAAAAATTGCATAATCTTTCATTTTTTTTTTTCTAGAATCTTTGCAATTTATTATCGGATGAAATATATTTTGAATTACATTGGAAAATCGAAAATTTAGGAGATGAAAGTTAAATAAGCTGATTTATTGCGAGGAAATTAAACGTCAATTAACTGATGTTACCAACTTTATTATTTTTCACACAAAATTTAGAAATTATTGTGGTCATTCTTACCACTGACTTGAAAAATTAATTTGTAATAAAAAGCTCACTAAACTTCTAAACTTTAAATAATATTAAATGATATTAATTTAGTCAATTAAAAAAAAAAAAAAGTAAAATTACAGAGCAAATTTTACGAAATATACTATTAAGAGTTATTAATGCAGAAATAACAGCAAATTTTGAAGTTAATGAAAATAAAAATATAAAGTTTAATTTCTATGATAAATTCAAATCAACTGATATATTTATTTATTTTTTTTTTATAATTCACAGTATAAATTTTATGAATTGCAACTAGTTATTTGCTGTATGATTAATCGGACAATCAACCTATATTTTGCATTTTAAAAATCCATTAATTTAATGCTAACACTTTTATCATTCCTTTTTTGTGGAAAAAAAGAAGAAAAACCATCCTATTTCGTATTTTTTTCTTTTGCAATAAATATTTTTGAGATGAAAATTCAATCATTCACTTTTTTTTATTAAATTATACATTACATTAAACTCTTTCTTTAACAATTTTATATAATTTCAATCTTTTCCCTTTGGAAATTTTATAATTTCTTATCCATTTTACCATTTCTATTCTAACTCAGCTACTTTTGCTTAGCTACTGAAGCAATAAAGTAATAATTTGTTCTCGTTTCCAATAAAAATTTCACAATTATAACAGAAAGATTACTTTTTAAGATATGGACATATAAGTAATAAGAAGAAATTCATTAAATTATTCAATTAACATTTCTACAAAATTTAACTGCAAAAATATATCAAAAAACATTGGAAAAATTGGTGTGCAATATTAAACTAATAAATTTTGCCATTTCTTAATTAAGCATTCAAATATGTTATTCAAAGTCATTTTCATATTTGGATATTATTGAAAAAAAAAAAAGAAAAATATTATCTGAATTCTAACTATTACTTAATATTAGACAATTAATAATGCGATAAATCTAACTTTAATTGGTAATATGATCAATCTGATCTCAATATTCTGTTTTATTTGTTTATTTTTTTTAAATCAGTTTAATTGCACATATTTTATCTTCAAATCGTTAGGGAAAGAAATTTTACCAAAATAGAAAATAGAAAAATTAAAAATAATTTATTCTTATCATTACTGCCACATATGTATGTATCTAATCTTTTTTACAACACTAACCTTATAATAGCAGTACAATAAGCAAGTTTTACATTACCAATCTTGAACCAATCATCATTTTTTGTCTCCTTATCCATAATTATTGCGCGTAATAACATTTCAGTCATATCTGCAGCTATATGTACCGAATCACCCGATCTAAATGTATTTTCTCTTTTTTCATTTCCATTCATTTTTTTATTTTAATTTTAATATCACAGCAAAACATGAAAAGTTTATGTATGATAAAATTGACACAATTTAGAAATTAAATGTTCGATAAGCATAATGTAACAAAAACTATACTATATCAACTAACAATATTAGCTAGCAAAAATAATTCCTCTCTGAAATAAACAGATACAAATTATATGACAAATACAATTACCGCCTATAATTGAAGATAATATCACAAGAAATAACTGGTTGTTCTGATTAAGAGAAAAAAAAAAAAAAAAAATGAAATGAAAAGCAAATGAAATCAATGAGAATTTGTCATTAAATAAAAATATATGATTTATGCAAATTCATTAACGTTTGCAGCATTATCTCTGATAAATTGTGTTAAATAAGAAAAACAAAGTTTGATAATTAAATTTATATGATAATAGTATAGTTTGACTGTATTTAGCAAGAATATATCTTATCTTATTAAGAAAGAAAAAAGAAAACAATAATTTAAACTAAGTAATTCTAATAAACCAAAACTAAGATGAAATTATTTATCATTTTTTTCATTAAACTACAAATAATTTAATTAATGTAAAATAATTGAATGATAGAAAGAAAATTAACCTTGCTTTCCATGATACAATTAATGCTACAGCATGTTTTAATTCAGATATTTCATCACTTCGATATACATTTGTTACAATATCCCATTCACGCCTGAAAAAACAAGAAAAAAACTTAAAAATTTCAAATAATGGAACTATGCTTATTTTAGAAGCATAAATAAAAACAGATAATATATTCCAAAAGCATAAAAGCATAAAATTTATCTTAATATTTTTTACATTTTCTCATTGTTTACATTTTCTCATTGTCTTCAAACCTTATTGTTTCAAAATGCCACACTATTCGTGAAACAAAAAATATAATTTCTTTTGGAAAATATAATTTCATCAACTAACCTTGTAAATGGTACTTGAACTCCTTTTAAATTCGTCATTCTTTATCAAATAAAAAAAAGAGCACATGAACACACAAACATAAAAAAAAAAACCCAGATAATTCACTGTGTTAATGGAAATCCACCAAATGATATTTATCCTAAAAATGAGAAAACAAGTTATAAATTTGATAAGCTTTTTAAAAGTTTACAAATAAACAAATAATTCTGCAGTAAAGCACTTTTTTATTTAATGGAAATATTACCTTCTGTCAAAGTAATTCTATTAAATATACATATTATCTGTAGTAAATAATACTTCGTAGCTTATCTAATTGAACATTCTAATCACTTTATTATGTAATTGCAATAGCTTAATTCATTAAAAATAAATAAAAAATTTATGAGTACAAGTAGATAGTTTCAATAAGTTATCATCTAATTATATGATATTGTAAAACTATAAGCAAGGTAAGTAAGATATGTCCTAATTAGCCCAGGTTTTGACAAGAAATTTTTGAGCAATAAAAAATTGAAAAGTGTTTATTGAAAAAAAAAAGTATGTTGCAAAAATCAGAGCAAATAATTTTCTCATCACATTGTTCTATATAAAATTAAATCATTCCAAATTTAGTTATAAATAATATTACAAAGATAATATGGAATTGCTTTAACAAATTATTTTATTCGTTTTATGAATGAATGAATTTTTTTTTTTTTGCTCATTAAATTTTATACTATTTCTCAATAAATTCACACTATAAAATTCCGACTTCGAAATTTTAATTTATTGTACATGCGCATCAAAATATTTTTCCTTTTTGAGTTTCAATTATTTAATAAATTTTTAGGTTAGAAAAGAAAAGCATATACATGCTATTAGTATGGGTAGAATTTTCACCAGCAGAAGATACTGTAATGTAGCAGTAAATTTTTTTTTATCATTTCACTTAGTCATAATATCAAAAACTTCTCAGCCAGAAGAAAAAATTCTGCCTTTTTCTTTTTAAACTAACAATTAGGAAATATTTAAGAAAAAATAATATAGCAAATATCATATACAAATTGTTAGGGACAAATGATCTGCAAATAAAACTGGTATTTCTCAAAATAAAAAGCAAAATTGATGAAGTAGTATCAAAAAATAATTCATTACAAACTTATTTTAAACAGTAAATAGGCACAAAACATATAATTGCAAAAAATTTAGGTTCAAGGAAATATACGAAAAAAAAAAAGAATGGAGTTCAAAGCTATTCATATGTGATAGCTGAGATAAGAGAAATGGAATGAATAGGAGAACATCATTCATGCATAGCTTCGAATTGTAATACGAAAAGATATAAATAAATCAAATATGGAAGCGCAAAAAGAAAAATACTGCTAATTATGATAAACTGAAAAAAAAAAAGAATAATCTGAACAAATAAGTTCTACAATATTTATTGATCATTGAGCAGAAGTGAAACATTCCTAAACTATTCTAAGCTAGGAAAGATGTAACACAGTAAGGAAGGTGATAATACAGCAGCAGTATCAGAATACAATGATTTAATAAAGCATAAAAAATTAAGTAGATGGAAAAAGAGGTAATTATCACAAAGAAAAAAAAAAAATTGAAATTTTAAGAAATACTCAAAAAAAAATCTTAAAAAAAAAATTTTCTCAAACCGTAAATATCATAGAAACATAAGTGACAAAAATGTGTCCGTAATAAACATTTAGCAGCAAAAAAAAGGGAAATAATGGAAAACATTAATAGAATTTGCGTTACTGTAATTCGTTGCAATGTATAAAAATGAAATTACCATAAACGATCAAAAATTTAAGAAATTGTAAATAAAAAGCATCGGAAGAGAGTTTTACTAAGTAAGCACCATAAGAAAAAAAAAATAAATAAAAACTGGGAAGAGAAAGAAAATGAATTATAGAATAACATGTAAAGAAATAAATACGAAAATCGCAAACACTGATGATTCCTTTAAATCATTAACGGCTGAGTTTTTATTTTACTAAGCACATATTTGGTAAAACCATGTAAAAATTTTGGATATTCACGTTTGTATATAATTCGTAATGCTGATGCCGGCACCCAACCACCTGGATTTACTAAAAAAAAAAACCCATTTGAAACAAACGGTTTAAACAAATACAAAAATTAAATTAAGATAGCTTATAATAAGTTTCCTAAAAGAAGAAGTTAAATTTACATGATTTACCTGAAGTTATAAGAATGAATTCTTTAGTAACACTAGAACTGTCTCGTATAGAATATGAATCGCTTTTCTATCAATTTAAAAAAAAGATGATTCATTATGCAAATTCTTTCATTCATGTTATAATAATAATAATAGTGGTTGTAATTTTTTATCAGTAATCCCTTTTATAATCTGGACTTTGAACATTACAACAGCAATCATACTTAACTGATTATGTTACTATTTTCACTTTTTATATAGAAAAAAAAATATTTATATGTGATAACTATAATGCTTATCAGTTATTTATGCAAAAAAAAAAAAGAGTAGAAAACTACAAAATGGAAATTATGAAAAAATCGAAAAATAACGTTATTAAACTAACTACTGATTAAAAACTTCTACAATTTATACATAAGAAGTTCTCAAAAATAATTGTAAAGATTTTCTAATGTTTTATATATTTTATGAAATTACCTTGCGCACAGTAACACACTTGGCATTGAATATCATTACGATTCAGCTTATCCACTGGCTTTTCATGTCCATCTTTAACGACTGTTTCACATAACATTGCTACAGTCAAACCAACTCGAACATTGGAATTATGTTCTAACTAAAATAATAAATTATAAAAATCTTATCTCAATCATTTCTACCGTTTTAACTATTAAATAAAAAAAAGAAAAAAAAAAAAAAAAACTAACCGGTACACTCGGTAGATTGCAATCATGGTTACATACCATATATAAATCCAAAGCTTTTGGGCTCTTTTGCTCTGGAAGATATCGTACATTTGACCAAAATAAAGATTCACGTTGAGCAGATGGCCAAATTCTCTTGTGTAACTAAAAAAAAATACAACAAATTAAGCATGATAAATTGGTAATGAGAACAAACTGATCAAATGCTTAGATGCAAGAGAAAGTTGCTTATGGTTTAGTGAAATATAATAAATACCAACCTGATGTATTATAACAGTATCCATTGAAATCCTCTCAACAATTCTTGTCCTGACCAATGTTTCTGGAAATTTATCATATCATTTCAACTAACTGTTTATTTGTCAAAATTGATAAAATCCTAAACAATTATAAATGGCAATCTTTGAAGTTCGTCCATAATCCTGTTTAGATGCATAATCCATTTTAAATCATTCAAAACTGCAAAATAGAGAAAAGATGCATACATTCAATAATATCACCTAAAATATAAGTTGTAACGAAAATCTCATCAAAATAAATTCATTCCAAAATTCGAAAAGAAAGTATAAGAACAATTGAATTGATGGATAAAATTTCCCTAAATTCCTTCATTCATATTTAATAAAGTAGGAAAAAAAAAGAATCAACTAACCATCCCATTCATGTTTATATCGCGGTTCGAAAAAATAATGAATGTATTCCCGGGCTGATACACCCTAAAATAGCGTGAATTAATGATTTTATTAATTCATTCTAACTTCATTACTATTCCCTAATGTTATAAATAAAAAAATTTTCTTCCAGTATTGTGAATATATTAAAAGATGAACTAAATGATTAATATTTTATACTGCTGCGTTTTCAATAAAATCTCTAAGAAATTTAGGTGGATATTTTGTTTATCTCTAAAATTACTTATAGTCATAAAATTTAGACACTAAATTTTCCAAATATATAACTTAGATCATTTTTTGGAAAAATTCGGAATTAAAAAAAAAAAAAAAACCTGTACAAGATGAACGGCTTTCAATGGATCACAGACTATCCCATTAACTTCCAATTCTCTTTTATACATCTTCATTTCGTCTTCTTCCATGAATAACTGCCAAACCTGTAAATTCCGCCATCTGTAGAACACCTTTAATTTAGGACATTTTCTAAAGAATGAAAGCTTTTAGAGTGCATTCAATCGCTCAGTAAGCCATTGTATGCATACTGTTTATGAAATATAAGAAAGCGTCCCGAAAAAAAAAAAAAAAAAATAAATACTGCAAAGTTGACTTAGGAAAACCTACGAAATAAAACGTTTTATATAGAAAGAAGAAAACGTTAACATAGTTTTAATTAAAATGTAAAAAACTTATTAATGCTTTTTCAAATTAGCATAAATAAATTAATTCTAAATTCACTCTACTTTAAAGTTCCACATAACTATCTGAATGCTTTGGCAAAGTACTGATAGTTATACAGCTCAAAATTTTACATAACTTAATCCATGCTACCAGCAACAAAACAACTTACTTCAATCTATCTATTTACTGTTGTAATATAAATTTGGAATTCAAATGCAAAATCTAACACCGTCATAAATACTAGATCGAGCATATTTTAATTGTTCCATTGCAATTCGATTGATTTCTTTTGCAAATGCATTTGATGCAGGTAAAGTGACATTTTTGGGTGGTGATTCAGCAATATCAGGATAATTTTCATTAGCTCTTTCTCTCTCAATTAAAGACTCCGAACTAGATATCCTTGCCGCTCCTTTCCCCTGAATTACCGTAAAATCAATTAAACTGAAATAAATAGCGTAAAGCCACATTTTTTGACAGTGAAAAATTTGGATAACCTTTAACGATCAAATAAATGTTAGAAAGTGCTATAGAATTAATAATGGAAGAAATTTTATATATATATATACGAAACATCGCCGTGTTCACTTTCAGCTTAAAATAAGAATGAACTGATAATTTCAGTAAAACTCATAATTTATAGGACAATTTTGAAAATTTCCACCAAATTAAATAACTGTTTTACTATATCTCCATGTAAGGATAATAGGTATTAAGCGTTTTATAAGAAGAGATGGACTTGAATGATTAAAACTATTTGGTCCATCTTATAACCAGTTTTGAAAATTTATAATATACATTCCGAAGCATTTGAATGCTTTGTGCTTCCTATTCTTCAAAATTTACCCAAAATTAGACAGCCAGCATGTTTGAAAGAAAAATTAAGAAAAAAGTCACGTCAAGTAAAACAAAGAGTAATAGAATACTAAATTAACCACTGCATTAAAAACTATTTTAAACTGATAAGGATACAAACTGCAAAACTACGTCCTTTCGCATTGCTTTTATTTTCCGGAATGCTATCGTCAGCATCATGCCATTCCTGTTCATCATCATCACTTGAAACATTATCGAGCTCCTGAAAACACAAGAAACATTGAAATTTACAATAATAATTTAATCATATAAATAAAGTCATGAAGAACATAGAAATCAATCCAATAAATTCCTTATGTCCTTCTTACAAAAAGAAATTCCTTACAAAAAGATAGCATCATAAACAACTAAATAAGCCATCTTATAAAAAATTCCTGAAGTAGAAAGAAGATAGTTTTAGGATTACAGGTAGCTGTCTCGTTGTAATCATCAGTTCTCACATACACTTAAAAAGGTAGGACGAAAAGAGAAACTTTATTGTATCAATAACTTTCTTATTATATGCTATTATAGTCTTCTAATTGTAAATCATTAAGTTAATGAAAATATTCTAGCCCATCTCCTATTATCACATTATTGATCACTGAATGTTTATTTCAATCATTTTACTATATCATCCACTTAACTCCCATTTGCAGTTGTTCGTATCTGATTTGAAAAAAATTTTTTAAAGCTTACGGATGTTTGATTCAACATAATGCTTCGTGAACAGTTACTAGCAATGTCCACGTGTGCAGTGTGACAATTCTCGTCGTAACGCTGCTTATGATTAACTTTCGTCTAAAATAATATTATATATGAAAACATATAAAATGCGTAGATTATATTTTTACAAAATCTCTTTGTAGGAATGCTAGAAAGCAGCATGCAGTATGAAGTCTTAACTATTTATCATGTCGTACTACCTTACAACCAACCTAACAACATATAAAAATTGCTTAATTGTTTGTTCATTGCAATTACTTATAGATCTTCCAAAAACTTTTGCTGTAATTATATACAAATATCAATGAAGTGATCTGACCTCACGAAAAAACTCCCACTCATATTGTTACTGCAGTCAGTAATTTCAACCAATTATAGAGAATTGCGAAAAACAAGTTAACTAGTTAGGAATGATTATTAAAAATCTATTGAAAGTAAAAATTGGAAATCTATTGAAAAGCTGATATAAAAAAAGAAAGAATATGAAAAAAGTTGATAGAAGTTTTGTTATGTGAACGATCAGAACAAGTATTCGTAAGTGTTCAGCGCCTGGTTCTTTTTGCCCACTGCAACAAGCCGTTATGTCATTATTCGGAAATACATTGGTTTATGATCGAGCCTTTCGATTAATTTCACCGCTAAGAGAGATTGTGTGTATGTGTGTGTGTGTGTTTGCTTCTTAAGAAATTCCAAGATAAAACGAATTGATTTCTGATTACAATAAATGTTTCATGAAAAATTATGTCATTTTTTAAATAAAAATAGCACATCACGTTAGTTAATGGTTGGCTAGAGAAATAAACATGTGCAAAATAGCGTTTGACAGACAGAGAGAGAAAGGGAGAGAGAGATGAGGTTTTCTGAAGAACAAAAGGAAAAATAGACAAATAAAATAAGCCAAGCATTAATACTTCAAATTTTATTATAAAACTTAATTTAAATTCCATAAAAGTATGGAACTAATGAAACAAACGTTCTAACACTATAGAAATACGCTAAAAAAAATTCCACAAACGACGCAGAAAAGGAACAAAAGAAAAAGAAATGCCACGTTATGGGCATTTCTTTTCCCTCTGTTTATTTGCTATACACATCTAGAGTATGGTTATATGTAAATGCTAAAAATAGCTGCCATCTTCTTCAGCCGTTGATCTCGAAATTACTTGTAAACGAAAGAAAAAAAAAAAAATTAAAGCCTACTTTGCATCTATTTGCAAGTGGAATGTATACAGATCTTATTTACGTTCAATTGTTTTCCTGATTGTATTTTTCAATTAAAATTTGAAACATTTCATCCAAGATAAGACATTGAACACGAAAGCTAATGAAGTATTTTGGATTATGTAGAAGTAATATGATGACTTTTTATATCATCCTTTTGTTCATTTGTGGAAATTTTTTTCCCCCAAAACAATGTTTGCTTTGAAATACTAGCTCGCATGCAAATTACAGAATAAAAGTTCGTTAAATGAAAGTTATGATATACATAGAAAGATGAAGTAAAAGTCTGACTATTTAAATTATTTGTTAAGTTTTAATCTTCAGTTCAGCATAAAATTTGAAAATTTTCACTTCATAGTAAATGCATTAATACCTGTTTTGCGAGTAAATGAACGCATGTGTTAATATTTTGCAATACGGCAATAGTTACAGCATTTAGTGCAATACTTTCATCTAGAAGAGAGGTAGCATAAGTATTTTCTCGGTTGTCTTGGATCACACGAATTAAATTTTCTAGTCGAGTGGCTTGCCGTCCAATCATATCGTTGAAACGTTCCAGCTGTTCCATTTTACACATCAATTCTAACTGAAAAATAACGTCACGTGAATACTTTCTATTAAAGATGTGACATTTTAATGTTTACCACATTATTCTCTGCGAGGACAGAACCGAAACTTATCAACGATGTAAAATCAAACGACAATCAACACTTCCGACCCGATTACTACATTTTAAAGTGTGAAAGAAGAAAAAATTGCTTTCTTGATTCCTCTCTCAATCTAATATTACTAATATTTGCTTCTGGTTTTTGCCTTGATTTCGTGCTATTAATGCGTTAAAAATACATTCAGTACCTTCCCATCAAAAAATAAACTAGCATTTCATGATGAATAAAAACATTTGACTCAATACTTAAGCCTCATCTCAGCTTAGCATGATAGAATGGATATTCTAAAACAAATAATTGGCTTACAACATAACGCGATGGCTAAAGAAAATGATTAAGAAAAAGAAATGAAGAAAAGAAAGGAAAAAAAAAAGAAAAAAAATATAACGATGCCAACATGACCCAATTTAGTTTAAATAATAAAACTTACAGATAATGACGACTGTTCATAACCTGCACTTCTCGCCACATCATCAATCGAACAACGGTTTTTCAGTTTATTTTTGGTTGACCCGAACTGTTAAGAAACCAAAATATTTTACGATTTAAAGTAAAATTTTGTATCATTAGTAAAAAAAAACATCGATAACAACAATGTAGTACGACAGTTATTCAGCATATAAATAAACTAAGCTTAGAAGAACAAACATTTTCGTTGACTAAGCTCAAAAGAAGATGTGAAATACAACGAACCATTTGGTACCTTAAAGCACGTAACCATAAATTGCGTGATTTTGGATTTTGAGTTCTTAAATACCAGCACGCATCATTTGTTAACACATCAAATCGATTAAAATCAATATCACTTTCCTATAATGACAAGTGCCTACAAGTGAAATAAGTGAAATAAACGGTGGCACAATGTAGTTTGATAAAAATGATATGCTGCCGAGAATAACCATAAGAATGGATAAATAAATAAGTAAATAAATTAATTAATTAAAAAAACAATTAACCACAAGATGTGCAATATGTAATGCAATTGCACCACGACTTCCATACTGCTTCTCGGATTCTGATTTGTAATACATTAAAATACCGTTTTCAAGTTCAAAATATCGTTTTTGCCATCCATATACAAAATTTGTCCATTTATACATAATGCCACAAACTTTTAATCTGAAAATGTAAAAACTAAGATTTCATGTCTGATCGAATTTGAAATTCTAAAAAATTAAAATTCTTTGTGCATTCCGTGCATTCATACATTTTTGAATTATACCATTCTTATATTTCGATATGATATTTATCACAACGGGATTCAACGAATCATTTCGTGTATCTCACTCGCTCGTTAAGTTATTAATAAAACGTGAGCGCGAATTTTATTTCTTATAACTTTAAATTTGAACGACAAGCAGATTTAAATTTACTGTCATAATATATGGAAAACAATCATGTATATAGTGTTTGCCTATTGCTGGATAATTCTCATCAATTTCAGCTACTTTTCATAGTTTTTTCTAGTGTCACTTAATTATTTAATTATTTGCTAACATCAAAAGTTCCTTATCTCTTCAATTGATGGATCCAGGTAGTAGAAATATTCTAATATTACTGTCCTACTTTGTTAATCCTAATTATTAATTTAATCATTAACCTGAGCAAGCTGTTCTCATTCATTCAAATTTGCTATTACTATCCTAAACTTTCTAATACCATTATTTCACTATTCTTCAACACTTAATATTTGACTAGATGAAACTTATTTACACAGTAACTTGCTCAATAAACCAATTTTGGATGAAAAATGAAATACGACTAATAAAAACGGTAAGATTCAGAAAAAGACAACTGAATGACTATCGATAATTACATTCATTTACCAATTTCTAATAAAAGTGAGTTTTTGTTAACATGAAACACTTACAAAGCATTATCTTCATCTTCAACATTAGCATCATTTAACGATTTGCTATGCTGTCGAACAGCAGCCATTTTTTCCTTTCCCAAATATCTTCTCTTCTCCTCCTTTTTTACCAGCAATCGCAACAGTTTAAAAAATTGAACTGTAAGAAAACAAATCTCAATTAGCACTTATATAGCAAATTCCCAAACTGAAATGACAACGACCGAAAACTAATTGAAATACAAATATAAATGACATCGGGAAACGAAATTTGCATAACGTCTCTAAATATAATGCTACATGAAAATTTCGTCTTGCATCTCTAGTGTGAGTTATTTTGTTATCAGTTCAAATTATTATTCAAAAAAAATTTTCAGGAGTTAGAAATAGCGTAAGAAAGAAAGAGTTCAAGATTGAAATCAAGATGAAAAAAATAATTCAGGAAAATAAAGATATTAGAAATAATTTGATAAGCAAAGAAAAGACAATCTGATGAAAGAATGTGCTAAAAAGGGAGGTATTGGAGTTAGAGAAATCGAGTCAGTTTATTGCCAAAATATTTATTTATCATCAAGTTGAGTTATCACTTAAATATTTTTAAACTGAGCCAAATTATCACCAATGTATTCCCAACAGAATCAATTTATCACCGAAATATTTATCATCAAGTTGAGTTATCACTACAACTTCTATTAACACTTCCAACGTAATCAATTTGCTATCGATTTATCAGCAAACATCATCAAAAATATTTATCATCGTGTTAAGCTGTCACCAAATATACAATTGAGCTATGTTACTACAGAAATATTTGTCGTTGTGTTGATTTATCATTTAAATTTTTTTCATTAGAATCAATTAATTATCAAAATGTTGATCATCGAATTAAATTATCACCAAGTATCTTCAACCGAACTAAGTTCTTCAAGAAATATATTATCATTATGATAAGTTATCACCGAAATGTTTTCTAATCAGCACAATTATTTATCGAAATGTTGTTATTTGAAGAAATTAAACAAAATAGCATAGATCAACAATGATAATTTAAGTTTTGTAGTACGATAATAATAATAATAACAACAACAATTGTTCTAATCAAATTGATTGAAATAATGAACTGTTACTAGCATTTATAAGTTTAAAAATGTTTCATTTTAATTTTAAATTAAAACTGAATAGTAAAAAAAAAGAGAAAAATAAACAAAGTGAGAAACAAAAAATTTTTGTTTGCATTTATAACTTTAGAAATATTACTTTTAATAAAATTCCATCAAATTTATAATAATATTTCGCGTTAAATAACAATATTTATATTCTTGAATCTTAAAAATTTTTCAAAATCAATTTAAGCATTTTTTTTTTTTTTTGAAATTATTTAATTCTCAAACATTATTAATTAAATTTTTTTTCCATTACAAATTCCATCTTTCTCAATGTTTGCTCATTTTAATATTTATATTTTTTATTCTCGCTTTTTTATATTTTTAAAAATGCAATTTTTTGAATTTTTTTTTCAAATTATTTTTTTCAAACTATTAATTATTTAGTATCACATTAATTCTTTCTTTCATTTCTTTTTTTTTTTTTTTTTTTTTTTTTTTTGCTATTAATCATTTATTATTTTTATTAAAAAATTTCAATTTCTGAAAATATTCTGTCCCTTTTTTCCTCCTTGTATAAATCATTTATTTATTTTGCAATGAGTAATTCAATTCTTGAGGGAAAATATTTTAAAGAATATGTAGAGAGAGGGAGAAAAAGAAAGAGAGGGAGAGAGAGAGAGGTAAAAAATAAAAGGAAGCAGATGAAATGATATGAATAATATGTAATTCGATAATTGTCACAGTGTGCAACAATTTTAACGCAACTTTTACATTAAGGATGTATCATTTGAGAAAATGATTTAAGTGATGCATTCAAGCATAACATTTCTCTCTCTCTCCCCTCCTTCCTCTCTCTCCCTCTCTCTCTCCTCTTCTTTTTTTTTAAAGCGGTACTTTTTCTTATTTTGTTTGTTTATTTATTTTATTTATATTTATTTGGAAGAACTGAATATTTTGAGAAAATAGAAAAAGAGAGAGAGGGAGAAAGAGAGAGAAGAGAGAAAAGAGATAAAATAATTCAAAAATGAAGTCACTCTTTATTGACTTTAATTTAATCCAAACTATATGATCTTTATGCCAAATTATATTTCATTCATATGAATAATCAATTAATAATAATTAATGTTAGCTATTAAAAAAAAAACGAATAAAATAATTGTAAATTTGATAAATATAAAAAAATACATTTTAACATAAAAGCATTTTTTTTTTTTTTTTGGTAGTTAAAATGTTTGGGTTAATTTTTAGTAATAAATTAATAGTTATGAAGATAGATTGAATATGAATATGCCATTAATTTTTGAAATTTTACAATTTAAATATTCATTTCATGCAATTCTAAAATGTCCATTGATTTAAATTTTAATCTGAATATTCAATTTTTTTTCCTTACAATCATCAGAAAACAAACAAGCAAACAAATAAAAAAAAAAAAAAAACTAAAATATGCAATGCTGTAAAACATACATTATTCCATCATATTTTTATTAAAATATTCTTCATAAATTCCACAAAAAAAAGAAAAAGGTAAAAAGTTTTGATCTTTGACCCGGAAGAATAAAATTACGTTTTAACCGCTTTATGACAACCAATATTTGTTGCTAATTTCAGCTCAATTACGCTTTTATGTGTTCATTTAAGCATATAGCAAATAAAAGGATGCCGTATTTTTCTTCTTTTTTTTGAAATACCCAAACATCTGCTTCTGATATAATAATTCCCGACAACACTTATCTCTCATATAATTCTCGTAATTCCCGACAACACTTATCTTCCACCATTTCTTTGTAATCAATCTTTGTTTGCGACAAGAAAAAAAAAAGAACGAAGTAAAGAAAAAATTTGAATAAACATTAGATTAATTTTTTGCTTTTTTTGATTTGAAAAAAGCAAAAAAAAAAAAAAAAAAAAAAAAAAACCGCTGTTTAGAAAAGAATTATTACTCAATTATAACTCAATTCCTTCTCTTTTTTTTTCTTTTTTTTAATACAAATTTATTTATTTTTTTTCTTCAAATTTTTTTTTTTTTTTTTAAAAAAGAGAAATAAGTTATAATTTTATTTAAGAATATTTAATTCAAAAATTTTTTCTAGTTTTTGAATCAAATTTCGTTTTTTTTTTTTTTTTTTTTTTTTTTTTGCGATACAAATTTATTTCAAAAAAATTTTCTTTCTCCCAAAAATACTTAATATTTAAGAATATTTCATTTAAAATTTTATGAAAAAAAAAGAAAAATCATTCTTTTTCTTTTCCTTCTTTTTTTGATTTTATTTTAAAATTTTTTTAAAAAATGAAATAAATTATTGCTATGACAACAGTAAGCAATTTGTTATTTTCACTGGTAAAAATTATTGACATTTATTTCTTTCAAATATCATTTGGTCATCATAAATCTTATAAGCTGTGATATATGGCTAAAAATTGATGGGAAATTTATTGTCAGCTGCTAGTTAATCCATCTGTTAAAAAATCAAATCCACATAGAGTGACGGTGACAGTGGCAGTGACAGTGACAGTTAATTAAAGGATGAGGAAAAGCGCAAGCAACAGGAAATGTTTCAGGGTCAACAAGGGTCAATTATTTTTTTCCAGTTGATTTAATCAATATTAGCTTAAGCATTTTTTCCTATATCTAAATAAATGCAAATCTATGATAAGCTTTTTCTTCTCTCTTATTATGTTATTTTATTTTTTCGTTTTTTTTTTTGTTTTGTTTTATAAATTTAATTTTTTTTAATGAATAAGTTATATTAACATACATATATTTAAATTTAATATTGAATGTATTTAAAGAATACCGTTATATTTATCATTGATAATCAAATACTGAAATATTTAACAACTAAAAAATCAATGAAAATTTGAAATTGCTAAAATATTGAAACTAAAATTATTGATGACAATATGTATATTCATTGAAATATTTCAAATAATATTGAAATATTTAATCACTGGTGATTTAATATTGAGTATTGAAATATTTAACTACTGATGCTTTGAGATATTTTCAATTTTAAATGCACCAAAATATTGAAACTGAAAATATAATTAATAAATTTATATAAAATTCAAATTATTGCGAGCATATAAACAATAAGTAAACAATTAATGATATGATTATACCTTAATATTTAATAAATAATTTTTTTTAGAAAGCATAAAATTGAACAATAAGTTTAGCCATCAGTTTTTTCCTTTTTTAACGATTTCAAAATCTTTTTCTTTCTTTCATTCTTTTTTTTTTTTTGTAAATTTCAGTGCACTAAAAATGAATAAAAATTGAGTCCGTTAAATTATATATTTTGTTGATTTATTTATGGAAACGAAGTACAATCAGAAATTTTTTATTTTTTTTTTTGATTTGCAGAAAAATTTATTTTTTCTTTTTTGCGTAACGGTAATTTTGTGCAGTATATAATAAAAGAGAGAGAGAGAGAGAAAAAAAAATTTTTTTTCACAAAAGTAAAAGAATAATTTTGTGGGAGAGAGAAGAAAAAATTGTAAAATGAAATCAATTTAATCATTCAAGAAATTCGTCAATAGTTAATATAAATAAATCTTTTTCGTTTAATAAAAAATTCAAATAAAAATAAAAATATGTCAAAATTGTATGAACCACAAAAAATAATTATCATTTTCAAGCAATTTAGGAATAAAAAAAAATTAAACTGATTTTTTTTTTTTTTAAATTACTTACTCTAATATGTAAACTATAAATAAGGTTACCAATCAGACTGAAAGTTTTAATGTCACTGAATAATAATTATATTATTATTATTATTATTATTATTATCACAATGTTATTATTATTATATTTAATATTAGTATTATTTATGGTTATTATTTATTATTATTACTGGCTTTAATATTAAAAAAAGGTTTTTTTTCTTAATTTTACATATATTCCAAACATTTTGGATATTATTAAAATAAACGGATCACTCGAATTCAAATCTTAAATATATTCTCACACATTCTTAGAT